GGGGGTTAGAAAGATTCAGTTGGAAAAATGCAAGTTGGTTATGAGGGAGTGGTATCTTTGAGACTTAGATTATGAAGGGATGAAGATATTGGTAATGACAAAGTCTAGACTGACCTGGCTTTTCTGCAGCTGATGTGCCCACCTCCTTCTAGGCTTCCAGGTAGGTCTCCTATGTTTTATACATTTTTTTCTGGAAAGGTTGGCTCTCACCTCCAGTCTGAACTATGAATATGGAAGAGGGCTCTAGGGTAAATCCAGATAAAGCAGGGAAAGCACTTGGAGAAAGGCATAGCTGCCTCATGATGCCTTGTCCTCTGTATACACTATCTCATACCCTACTGCCATCCCAAATTTTAAGCGCTCATAAACCCATTGAATCTCAGGATTGGAAGGACATCTACCCCCACTACCCCCTCAGATGCAACTCCTCCATAGCCCTCAGCTAAATAAACATTTTTTTATCCCCACACCATGTACCTATCACCAGCCACCGTTTCTCTTTGCCACGCTAGTTTGTAAACTCCTTGAGGACATATGTTTCACCTGTCTTTTTGTGTGTGTGATAAAATATATGTGACTTAAAATTTACTATTGTAACCATTTGAAAGTGCAAAGTTCAGGGGCGCCTGGGTGGCTCAGTCAGTTGAGCGTCCGACTTCAGCTCAGGTCACGATCTCGCAGTCCGTGAGTTCGAGCCCCGCGTCAGGCTCTGGGCTGATGGCTCAGAGCCTGGAGCCTGTTTCCGATTCTGTGTCTCCCTCTCTCTCTGCCCCTCCCCTGTTCATGTTCTGTCTCTCTCTGTCTCAAAAATAAATAAAACGTCAAAAAAAATTTAATAAAAAAAAATTAAAAAAGAAAGTGCAAAGTTCAGTTGCATGGGTACATTCACACTGTTGTGTGACCATCACCATCCATTTCCAGAAAATTTTATCTACCCGAACTGACAACTCTGCGCCCATTAAACACTAATTCTCCATCCCCGCCTCTCTGCAGCCCCTGGCAACCATCATTCTACCTACTGTGTATATCATTTTGACTACTCTAGATACATCATATAAGTGAAATGGCACAATCTTTCTTCCTTTGTAACTAGCTGGCTTGTTTCACTCAGCATAATGGTCAGGATTTATCTACGTTACAACATGTGTCAGAATCTTTTCCTTTTTCTAAAAAAATATTTGTTTATTTTAAGGAGGGAGGTGCAGAGAGAGAGAGAATCCCAAGCAGGCTCCATCCTGCCAGCGCAGAGCCAAATGCAGGGTTCAATCTCACAAACCGTGAGATCATGACTTGAGCTGAAGTCAAGAGTCAGATCTTAACCGACTGAGCCACCCAGGTGACCCAAATCTTTTTCCTTTTAAAGGCTGAATGCTATTTCTTTTTCAGTCTTTTGTTTCATTTTTCTGGAGTCCATACCCAGAAGTGGAGTTGCTGGATCATGTCATTCTCTGTGTAATTTTTTGCGCTATCCTCACACCGTTTTTCACAGGAGCTGCATTAGTTTACATTCATAACCAGCAATGCACAAGGGTTCTGATTTCTGCATCTCCTTGCCAACACTTGTTATCTTCTTAAACCTATCTTTGATTTCCTCTCTATGGAAATTCCTCTCTATGCTGCTAGGCACATGATGGTGTATGAGTAAATGAACAGCTGTTGTTAGCCCTGTCAAAAAAGGAATGAGGTTAAATGAATCAGCAAGCCCCATCTTGCACATCTTGTTCTAGATCTTCACTGTCCATTATTGTAGCCACATGTAGCTATTTAAATTCAAATTAATTAAGATGAAGCAAAATTTCAAATTCAGTTCCTTAGTCTCAGTGACATTTTCAGTGCATAAGAGCCACCATAACTAATGGTTATTAGTGCCCACTGCATTAGACTGTGCAGAGTAGGAAATTAGCATGATTGCAGATGGTTCTTTGGTAACTGTATTGAGCAGTGCTTTCCAGATCCTGCTAGCACCCTGTGCTTTGTCTCACAATTCATATTTGGATCAGCTTTTCCAGAATTGGACACCTTAAAATTTAAGATAAAGGTCTTTCTTTTGGGAGGGAGGGACTATGCTGCCTCAAAAGTCTGTGGCCCTTTACTACGTAAATGGCTGCTATACAAAGTCTCAGATTTTTATGTTTTAATATTATATTTGGACTTTCAGTGATCACATGGTTCTGTCCCTTTTGATTATCTTTATGAACACAGATTTACTAAACTATTTAAATCTTTCTCTATGTGATTCAAAACTGTTCTCTACTAAACCATTGGTTTAATAAAATATTCTTAGATTCAGAATGGAGATTATGTCTCCACTTAATACTTTGCCAGTTTACTACTTTTTACCCAAAACTTAACACAATAATTAGAGACTGTCAGTAAATATTTGTTGAAAGATGAGTGAATGAATGACACAAGTGAGCACTGAGCTGAACTTTGGAGCTCAGGGCACTGAGATGACATTTTAGAGGGTGGCACCCAGGCATAATAAGATTTAGGAGATCTAGCACTGTTTGTTTGTTTGTTTGTTTGTTTGTTTTTAACAAAACATGGATTTTAAGCTACGGTCTTTTCTTCCATTGTTCAAAAAGTAGCTTAAAATTTAATTCCTGTAAGGATCTTGTGCAGTGCATGTTTATAAAGCTTCAACTCTTTTATAAGCACTCAGCACCAACAAATATAATAACAAGAAAAAATAAATTCTGGATTTTTATAATGTCAACATGTGTGCAGGCATCTTCTGTTTGCCCCTTCGCGTCTACTTTCTACCTCTCACCATCCTACGCTCTACCCTGGGTGGTTGATCTCTATGGGCTATTGCAATAGTTTCCTCTACCCTTTAACTTCTCTTGGGCTTGGCCAATAGGGAGATCTAGCAGGAGAGCAGAAGCAGCTGGATGGGGTCCAGGAATTTATTTGAAACAGAAGGGCTCTCTGTGTTCTCCACAGGTCACTGTTCTTCTAAAGTGGTCTGTTCTACATGATTCCCTCTCCTTCCTGGTTCTGAATATCTCTCCCTACTCGTGATTCTCAGGCCTGGGGTATCACATATAGAATACATATAGTTTCCACTCTGCCTATGCCTTTAAATATTACCTTTCTTTATAAACCTTCACGGAATTATTCTAACTTGAATGTGCCATCTGTTTCCCGATGGGACCCTGATACAGCATCCTTTATCAGTAGCTAGACCACAGTGCCCAAATCCCTGCTCTGAAAATTTTATACCTATAGTCCTTAGAAAAATATTCCCTGATAATTTTAGCATCTCCTTATTTCAGTGCACTGGTTAGCTTTATGAAGAAACCATGTTATATTTCATATAATATACATTTTTCTCCAGCACACTCAGATTAGAAAAATACTGATTCATAAGTGAATCTTTTTGCATTTATCTTCTCTACATAAAATATTATTTATGGAAATACATGTAAATAAGACTATAAAACAAGTTGGTTAATTTGTAAGATACTAAATATTTTAATATCTAATAAGCTTTAAATTACTTCTTGATATGGGAGAAAATCTATACCTCAGTACTACAAGCCAGCCATCATTACTCAATATACACAGCTTACTGGAGTTTCTAACCCCTCCCTCTACACCGAATAATGGTGCCTGCCAAAAATTCATGTTGTAATCCAATCCCCAACGTGATGGTGTTAGGAAGGAGGACCTTGGGAGGTGATTAGGTCATGAGGATGGAGCCCTCAAGAATGAGATTCATGTTCTTATAAAAGTGGTCCCATGGAGCTCTCTTGCCCCTTCCGTCATGTGAGAACACAACAAGTAGACGGCCATCTATGAACCAGGACGCGGGCTCTCACCAGACACCAAATCTGTTGGCACCTTGATCTTAGACTTCCCGGTCTCCAGAACTGTGACAAATCAATTTCTGCTATTGATAAGCCATAAAGTCTAGAGTATTTTTCCTATATAGCGTAAAGCCTACATGGACTAAGATACCCTTTGAAGCTCGGTGTTTAACTGTACAATTACTAGCAGACATCAGCTCATTTAAAAGAAGAATGAGCCTTAAAGTCTCCTGTCCGCTGTCGCAGCACCAGCAAGCAAAGGACCCTAGATTCAAATCCTGGTGTCCAACACAAAAGTTCATGCTCTTAACCACCAATAAAGAATCCAAGAACAACATCAAAGACCACAGAAGAACCGAAAAATAAGGACTATCCAAAACAAAGGATTCCTCTTATCCTGTTACCTACCCTCAAAGAGCAATGTCTAAATCTATACAAGCTTAGAAAACTTACAAAAAAAAAAATATAAAAGAATGCAACAGATAACTCATAGAAAAGTAAATTTCTTATTGTCTAGTAAGCTTATTTTTCTGTGCATGGTATATAGGAAGGGTAGAAAATTAGTGGTGAAATTGTACTATTTTGGTATTAGCTAAATCTTATTCCTGCCTACAATTCGTGAAATGACGTAGTTGTATTGTTTATTTTAACCCAAATTGCAATTATGTGAAAATTTTCCTCTGATATATTGCTATACTTGCAAGAGGCTTGAAGGTGAGCATGTACTGGCTGCTTTATTCATACAAATAGAACATTCTCTGTGAAAGAGAAGGGACTAAAAAATACTAGGTGTAGAGATAGTATAATTGATCTGCTTAATGACACTAAATGGTTTTTTTCTCAACTGTGATTTTGCATAACAAGTTACAAAACTATTTTAAGATGAGACTGTTACTCAATACTCACTTCTGGTAAACCCCTTTTTACACCATCTTCCTGTCCTGAGGAACTGATAAAAGTGAAACAGAAAAGCATAAACAGAATGTAGCAAATGAGCCATGCCTTTTATAGGTAATAGTTTAGTCGTAAGCCTTTAAATATTGATTTTTGAATTTGAATAATTAAATTTGTTCTCAACAAGCATGATTCTCACAAATAGACTAAACATTTTTATAATCCATACTTTGTTCATTTAGATGAATTTGTACCATCCATTTAGAATCTATGTATGTCTACACCAAAAAGCCTTACTTTGAGGCTGAGACATGGTTTTCTTCTCTTTTTCTTCATCCATTTCATCCTCTTCTTGCAGTTCCACGACTTTGTTTTACTTTTCCCTTCAACACACTCTTCAGGTAGACTGAGTCCTTCCTCAAAGATGGTTTATAGTTTCTGTGAGTGCACGGACCACAGCCGGCATCCTTCCGTGACCCTAAAGAAAATTTAAAAGTACAATCTTGGAACCACAAAAAAACAAACATGTTTCAAATGATGAAGATGTCTTAAAGATGAACATACCAAAAGTGACACTGTGAAAACAGATCAAAGTCTCAGGTGTAAATTCACAGATTCAGTGGACAGGCTTCTTGCAGGTATCTACTCTAGGGATGGTGATCTTGTTGACGAGAACTTGGGGAAGCTGATCGATGTTCCTCTCAGTCCGCAGTTCCTTACCTTACTTATGTGCCCCGAGCGTGAGTAGGAATCTTTGGTAGGAGCTGACATGGCCTTGCATCACTAACTCTCAGTGTTGAAAGCAGGCCACTCTAGCTGATTTCTTTAAACCCTATTTTCTACAAGTTGGTGATGGACAAAGTTGAATTATGAAACAGGAAGAATTGCCACAATTCTACATCCCTAGTCACAAAGAAACATTTACAAAACATTTAATGCCCTCATGCCAATAGGAATCCATAACTGATTACAATGCAAATGTGAGTGCTGCATATAATCTATTCATGCCCTATTTCTTTCAGGGCCCCAGGACATCATCTCTCCAACTTCAGTAGTGAGTAGACCCCTTTTAAGGAAAAAGAATATATGGTACCCAGTGTTGACAAATTACCTGAATATGACATGTATTCAAGTATATGTAACTTACATAAACATGGTATAAATTCCTTATGGTTACAGCCTCATTAGGAAACTGTAAAATTTAAGCAAATCATATGCAGAATTTAAAAAACAAATGAACAAAGGACAAAAAAGAGAGAGACAAACCAAGAAAGAAGCTCTTAACTATAGAGAACAAACTGATGGTTACCAAAGGTGGGGGTGGGGGTGGGGGGAAGGATAGTTGAAATAGGTGAAGGGGATTAAGAGTACACTTACCATGATGGGCCCTGAGTAATATATAGCATTGTTGAATCACTATACTATAGTGCACCTGAAACTAATATAACACTGTATGTTAACTATACTGGAATTCAAATTAAAAACTTTAAAAAATTGAACAAATCTACATATTAAAAGTATAAACTTAATATTAAAATAAGCAGCATTGATTTATGTTGTTTTGATGAAGCAAAAAAGTTATATTCTCTTAACAAATTTCAATTATATAAGTTTAGTGTTATCAATTATAGTCACAATGTTTTACATTAAATCTTCAAACCTTATGCATCTCATAGCTGAAAGCTTGTACTTTTTTACCAACCTCTCCCTATTTCTCTCAACCCCCAGCCCTTGGCAACCACGATTCTGCTTTCTCTTTCTACTCTTTCTATGAGTTTGACTTTTTTTTTTTTTTTTTAAGTTTCCATATATAAGTGGTACCATGAAGTATTTGCCTTTCTCCGTCTGGCTTATTTAATTTTGCATAATGTTCACAAGGTCCATCCACATTGTCGCAAATGGTAACATTTCCTTCTTTCTCATGGCCCAATAATATCCCATTGGATCTGTATAACACATCTTCTTTCCCCATTCATCCATTGATAGGCACTTTGGTTGTTTCTAACATTTATTTATTTTTGAGACAGAGAGTGCGAGAGGGAGAGGGAGAGGGGCAGAGAGAGAAGGAGACACAGAATCTGAAGCAGACTCCAGGCTCTCAGCTGTCAGCACAGAGCTGGACACAGGGCTCGAACCTACAAACTGTGAGATCATGACCTGAGCCAAAGTCGGATGCTTAACCGACTGAGCCACATAGGTGTCCCTTAGTTGTTTCTATAGCTTGGCCACTGTGAATAATGCTGCAAGGAACATGGGAGTGCAGATATCTCTTCATTATTCCATTTTCATTTCCTTTGGACTTATACCCAGAAGTGGAATTGCTAGATCATATGGTAGTTCTATTTTCAATTTTTTGGAGAATTTTCATACTATTTTCCATAGAGGGTGAACCAACTTCCATTTCCACCAACAATGCACAAGGGGTCCCCTTTTTGCACATCCTTTTCAACTTGTTATCTCTTATCTTTTTGATGGTAGCCACTCTAACAGGTGTAAGGTGATAACTCGTACTTTTAATTTGTATTTCCCTGATAATTAGTGATGTTGAACACCTTTTCATATGTTGGTCATTTGTATATCTTCTTTGGAGAAATGTCTGTTCAGTACCTCTGCCCATTTTTAAAATATTTTGTTTTGTTTTGTTTTGTTTTTGATATTGAGTTGTATGAGTCATTTATATGTTTTGGATATTAACCCCTTATAATATATATGATTTGTAAATATGTTCTCCCATTTGGTAGGTTGCCTTTTTATTTTGTTGATAATTTCCTGTGCAAAATCTTTTTATTTGATGTCATTTCACTTGTTTATTTTTGCTTTTATTATGTTTGCTTTTGGTGTCAAATCCAAAAAAAAAAAAAAATCATTGCCAAGAGTGATGTCAAGGAGCTTATCCCCTATGTTTTCTTCTAAGGAGTTTTATGGTTTCAGGTCTTTCATTCAAGTACTTTGACTTGGTTTTGTGTATGATGTAAGATAGAGGAGAGTTTCATTCTTTTACATTTGGCTGGCCAGTTTCTCCAGCACCATGTATGGAAGAGACTAGCCTTTTTTCCATTGTATATTCTTGGCTCTTTTATGGAAAATTAGTTGACCGCATATGCATGGGTTTATTTCTGGACTCTCTATTATGTTGCATTGATTTATGTGTCTCTATTTATGCCAATATCATACTATTTCTGTGAAAAATGCCACTGGAATTTTGGTTGTATTGAATCCCTATCAAACTGCTTCTGGTAGTATGGATATTTTAACAATATTAATTTTTCTAATCCATGAACACATATTATCTTTCCATTTATTTTTATCTTCTTCAATTTCTTTCATCAATGTCTTATAGTTCTCAGTGTATAGATCTTTCTCCTCATTGATTAAATTTATTCCTCAAAAATCACTCATTTTGATGCAATTGTAAGTGGATTGTTTACTTAATTTCTCTTACTGGCAGTTCATTGTCAAGGTGTAGGAACGCAACTGATTTTTGCGTATTGATTTTGTATCCTTCAACTTTACTGAATTTTTAAATTAGCTCTAAAAATTTTTGGTGGAGTTTTTAGGATTTTCTATCTATTATATGTAATCTGCAAGTAGAAAAAGTTTTATTTCTCCCTTTTCGATTTGGATGGCTTTTATTTCTTTTTCCCACCTAATTGCTGTGGCTAAAGCTTCTAGTGCCATGTTGAATAAAAGTGACAAGAGTAGGCATCCTTGTCTTGTTCCTGGTCTTATAAGAAAAGCTTTCAGCTTTACACCATTGAGCCTGATGACAATTATGGGCTTGTCATATGTAACCTTTATTATGTTAAGGTATGTTCACTCTGTACTCAGGTTGTTACGAGATTTTATCATGAATCAATGTTAAACCTTGTCAAACGCTTTTTCTGCATCTATTGAGGTGATTGTAAGATTTTTATCCTTCACTTTGTTAATGTGGTGTATCACGTTGATTAATTTGGAGATGTTTTATCATTCTTGAATCTCTGAAATAAATTCCACTTGATCATGGTATGCCATCTTTTTTATATATTGTTGAATTCAGTTTGCTAATATTTTGTTGAGGATTTTTCATCTACGTTCATCAGTATGGCCTGTAATTTTTTTTTCTTGTAGTTGTCCTTAATTGGATTTGGTATCAGGGTAATGCCAACTTTGTAAAATGGTTTGGAAGTGTTCTGTGCTCTTCTATTTTTTTTTTTTTTTTTTTTTTTTTTGGGGGGGGGAATAGTTTGAAAAGGATTGGTACTCAGTTTTAAAATATTTGGTAGAATTCATCAGTGAAGCCATTTGGTCCTAGACTTTTGTTTGTTGGGAGGGCTTTTATTACTGATTTAATCACCTTATTTGTAATGGGTCTATTCAGATTTTGTATTTCTTCATGACTTAGGCTTAGGCTTAGGAGGTTTCTAGGAAATTTCTTTTTCTTCTAGGTTGGCAATTTGTTAGCATATAATTATTCATCTTAGTTTCTCATGATCCTTTGTATTTCTGTGGTATCAGTTATAATGTCTCTTTCATTTCTAACTTTGAGTCTTCTCTGTTTCTTTTTTTCTTGGTAATCCTAGATAAAGGTTTATCAATTTTGTTTGCTTTTTCCAAAAAAACCCTCCCCTTAGTTTCATTGATCTTTTTAATTTATCTTTATAGTCTTTATAGTCTCTACTCCCTTTATTTCCACTCTCATCTTTGTTATTTCTCTCCTTCTGCTAACTTTATGTTTAGTTTATTATTCTTTTCTTATTTCTTGAGGTGTAAAGTTGTTTATTTAAGTGGGTTTTTTTTTTTTTCATTATGTAGGCATTTGTTGCTATGGACTTCCCTCTTACAGCTGCTTTTCCTCCATTAGTTTTGGTAGGTAGTGCTTCCATATTTTTTTGTCTCATGAATTTTTAATTCTCTTTTGATTTCTTCTTTTTTTTTATATTTTTTAATGTGTATTTATCTTGAGAGAGAGAGAAAGAGAGAGACAGTGCACAGGTGGGGAGGGGCAGAGAGAGAGGAAGACACAGAATCTGAAGCAAGCTCCAGGCTCTGAGCTGTCAGCACAGAGCCCAATGTGGGGCTCGAACCCATGAACTGTGAGAAAATGACCTGAGCTGAAGTCGGCCACTTAACTGACTGAGCCACCCAGATGCTCCTGATTTCTTCTTAAATACATTGGTTTTTCAGTAGCATGTTGTTTACTCACCACGTATTTGTGAATTTTTCAGTTTTCTTCTTGCAACTGATTTCTAGTTTTATACCATTATGTTCGGAAAAGTTGCTTGATATGATTTCTATCTTTTTAAATTTATTAAGAGATGCTTTGTGGTCTAACATATGATGTATCCTGGAGAACATTACATGTGCGCTTGAGAAAATGTGTATTCTTCTGCTGTTTGGTGGAATGTTCTGCAAATGTTAAGTCCATCTGTTACAGTGCATAGTGTAAGTCTAATGTTTCCTTATTGATTTTCTGTGTGAATGATCTATCCATTGTTGAAAGTGTCAAAACAAGCTCTACTTTTCATTTATAGTCATCTGGAAGAGAAAAATACATAAATTAAGAAACACAATATAAAGTTCCATTTCAATTGGAGATAAATATTTCAAAATAGTTGTGTTTAATATTGCCCATTTTACTGTTGCTACTGCCATAGAGAATCAAGGTACTAATCAAGTAAAGTGAAAAAAAGATGTGTTGATAGAAACTGCTTTTAAATTCTGCTTCTG